ATAGTATATTGATGTGTACACGTACACGATGGAGGTTTTAGAGTAGGCAACAGCGGCTATGGAGTGCAGCAGTATGTATACTGCTGTTGTAAACTATTATTATTTTATATTCGTCAGTCGTGTGGACAAAGGAAAAATAATAACGTTTTAAGTGTGTGCGTCCCGACCGGAATGCCGTAACCATCAGCAGCCGTTGCCGTATATAATAATAAATGAATGAAAGCCGAAAAAACGATAAATACACTAGTTTTATGTGACACGTTTTTTTTCTCGCCCTCCTTTGACCGTTCACGCACACTGAGACAAGGACCCCGACCGGCCGAGAGAGTTTGTTTTTACAGACGAACAGACATCGTCCGGAAACATGAATGGACCCAAACGGGAAACATTTACGCAAAATCGTTACACACGCCATTCATTAAACATTATACAACTACACACACGTCATAACCAATGAATAACACACACATGCGCCCCAGCAGCACCACACACGCATCCGCATACGAGACGCACACATTGTATAAGAACGTCGCATTTCGTATTCAACACGTAGCGTCGATGCGTGCGGTGTATCCACACATGTTTATCGAATATACAATTTTTTTTTTTTTTTAGACTACGGTGCGTGGCGTGAAACTCCAAATGTACGCCGCATACCGTAGTCGTCGATCACGTGGCTTCGATCGGAGACTTCTGAACTGTACGCACAAAATAATCCGTATACTTACGCAACAACGTTTCACCCTCCCAAGAGTCGCGTACACGTGTGTATTCAACAAGAGGTCGTGTAGTATATTTTTCCTACGAATACACTGCAGACAGGTTGCGAACTGTGGGAGATGTACTGCAGATAAGACACTATTAAGATTTCTCCTAACGTTTCTGCTAGACTCGTAGGTTGTACTCGAAAAAAAAATTTTTTCGGGACAGTTTCGGAAGCGAGAAGCTGGACGACCACGACGACGAGCTAACCAGAGGCGGCTGTACTAACGAGACCTGGGTTACAGTCGTGAGACACGTTTACCGTCAATTAGAGGGAGACACGACTCGCGCGCGTACCAAATACACACTCACACTCACACACACACACACATACACATACATTCATCATTATACACGACTCCCGGGTCTAAGTTACGTATCAATTTGACGAACGGCGGCGGATATTAATGCGATTTAAAGTGCGCGCGCGTACGGCTAGATATTATAATATACGGTGCAGCCCGTAACGCCCACCAAAAACGAGTCATCGTGTGGAAAAAGAAACCGAACAAACAACCAAGCGCCTCCTTAAGGACCACGCGTGAGACGAGATATGTGGCTAGTATAGGTATTATACACCATATTATATTGTGCGTATACGATATTATTATTATGGCGGCGGCGGCGGCGGTAATAACAACCTGCGAGGCTGCTCTTGGCGTGTCCGAATCGATAAACATTGTACTCGCGCGCGACACGACTCGTAGGAAGGCTTATTGAAAGGAGAGAAGAAAAAAAACAAAGTGGCGCGAACGCATTATCACGATTTCCTTATACGTGGCGGCAGCATCTAAGCACAATAATAATAATAATAATAATAATAAAAACAACAATACACATCGGCTGTAGCGTGTATTATACACAATACGCGCGTACTATATACGACAACGGCGGACCTGGTCGAGAAATAATAATTTCAATAACAAACGGGCATAGTGGCGCGTCGGCGACAGTGTTAACCATATACGTGTATAATATGTGTATAACAATCATTTCGTGTGTAGACGGTATTTTTTTTTCGGGATGTGGGCGCAAAGGGGTATAAACACGTATTCGTTTTTTAAAATTTTTTTTATCCTAGACGCCGAGCGCTAAGACTGCTCTGCTCAGACTATATGCGACCAGCGATACGTAGTAATAATCATGGTAATAATAGTGTCGTCAATACACCCACCCGCGGGGCACAAAGCTACAACAGGACAACAGCAGTAATACCTAGTAATAAAAAAAAATATATAATATTCCGAAGACGCCCGTCAGACACCACCACACACACGCGTGTACGCACGCGACCCGACCCGGTCCTTTCTCTCCACGTATACTAGACTCCGGTCGCGTCGAATTATAATATTCGACTTATCGTCGTCGGTCCGATTGAAAACAAAACAAAACAAAAAAAAAAAAAAGTAAAAATTCCAACCCGAACATTTCGGCGGCCAGGAAAACACGACTACGGACCGCATCCGGTCAACGTCGCGCGCTTAACCAACACAAAAACAACTCGTCTGCGGGCACATATAAAAGGTAAACAATTTATAATACGACGTACGTCTGCGTGTTTGTTGTTTTACGACGACAATAATAATAATATAGAACCGATCGACGAGATTTAAAAGAATTTCGTTTTTAACGGGACTGCATAATGAGTATTTAACATTCTGTGCATTACGACATTATTATTATAATACTATTTTTTACTCTATCGTCCGACGCATACCCACCGATACTCGATCTGATCGAGCGGGTTAATCGACAATAATATAATATATATCTGTTGCCTAAACCCCACACACGGCGCGTATTGTGGATTGGTCGACCTTTAAGAGGGAAGGTATTTTTCTTACAGTGACTTTGACAGATTGATTATGCTAAAACATTACTCGACAAAGACGACAACGACGGAGCGTTTCAATGCGGACATTTTTTTAATTTTTTTTTTTTTTTTATCAAATCTCAACTAATAATCCACAATTGTATACGTCACGGTCGCGGTGTCCAACAGCGGCGGCGGCGCTTCGTTCTTGAAACGATTCGTTTCATCATGCGTTCTACGCGTTATTTTTATTTCTATTACGCCCCGCGCCCTCCCGAATCCCGTCTCCTTTACAATAATAATAATTATTATTACCGTCGCCTTTTGTTCGACAGAATCCTCCCACGACGACACGCGGTAATAATAATTTCGGTTTTTCGACCATTCTCGTTTCGGTTGTTATACATAATATACATATACAATAATACAACGTGGTAGTAGTGTGAACGAGCGACCGATCGTTTCTTCTCCTTCAAAAACACTCTCTCACTCCGTCTATAGCAGCACACTTTACACCCATTGTGGTGTGGTCTTCTGTGCGCGCCCAAATCACGAAGGACATACACACACACACACACACACACACACACACACACACACTCGCACGCGCGCGGGAGATAGAAGGAATTTAAAAAACTGGCCATCATTTCCTGCGCCGCCGTGGCGTATACACCACACGCCACCACCGCCCTTTATTAGCATAACTTCTATAAAAAAAAAAAGTAGGTACACTCTCTCACGGCGACGATAATCGATGACGGTGGCGGCTGCGGCGAGGTGGCAACACCACTACTCTCGGTCGATGATAATTTATTCGGATATTTTTTTTTTTTTTTTTGTCGCCCAATTTCGTGTTCGTCTGCGGTGGCGGAATCTAATATCTCTAACACAAGCACACTCATCACACACACTCCGGAAATTTACCCGTCTCACCAGCCGTTTATCACATCCAAAACACACGACGGTAAAAGGATTCGGTCGTAAAGTTGGCTTTAGTATTTATTTTTCAATCGATACACATTGTTTTGATCTCCCCGAAATGATCGCGTTCACTGTTGTTGTCACATCGAGATCGCACGCAACTGCGACACAAAAATAATACGATACGCGCGAAAAAAAAATAATAGCCGAGCACGGTATGACACTAACTACTAGCTAGCTAGGTCGGTCGTCGGTCACACCACACACAAGATTCGCGGACGTCGGAGTAGCCCGCACAACAATATTAATTCCAAACGGCGGCGGAGAGATCTTATTTCGTCGCCACACATTCACGTGAAAGGGGTATATCCCGAAATTACGCTTTCCCCTTTGACCTCCCCCACCCACCTTCGTGACGCAAGACTTACTTCAGAGTTTTTCGTATTTCTGCGCGTTATAACTATTGCTATTTCTGCAAACCCCAACCGGCGACCACGCCAGATAGTTATTGGAAATCTATTAAAATATTATAGACGATCGATTAAACGTCGTATTCAAATATTTAAACATTCTAAAACGGGTACATGGATGGTAAATGGAAATGGAACTACGCGAGGTAATCGCCGTCCGACTGGTTTTTTACGTTTTTAAGGCACGAAATCACATACCTACACATACCACCACAGTACCACAAATGGACAGCGTTCGTGACGTAGTTTTTAAATTTTATGTTTTCTAACCGATTGAGTCGAATATATGGCAAGCAAAATACACGACGAAATGAATTCGATGAAACATACATTATTTTTTATCATTTCCAAGCACACGAATATAAATAAAATGTTTCTTTTATCCGAGCCAAATCGACCAAACGAATATCAGTTTATTTGTATTTGTGTAATTCATCGTTAAAATACGTTGGCGGTCTGTGTGCAACACCGAATACTAAACACTACGCCGATTTACTTAAAAAAAAAAAAAAAACCGAAAACAAATTCAACAAAGCGTGTATTTCATAATTCATAATGTCTATTATGTTGTATACCGAAATGAATGAATCCACTGTGCATAATTGACAGATTTTTTTGTGAAAATAACATCGAGATTATAATAATGCGTTTGAAATAATATCTGACCAAAAAAAATAACTAATAATAAAACTCGATTTCGTTTTTGTTCCTGATACCGAGATATTTATAGTTGAAAAATAACTACAAAATATGTTCGGACTATTGGATGCATAAAAAACAAACACATTATTGTTAGAACGAATTTAACAGAAAATACCCTAAATATCTACTACTAGAGAGAATATAAAAAAATATTTAATTTCGATTCATCGAACACAAACAAACGATTGTACGCAGAGACGACACCAAAACAATGGGTTTGCAATGACAATTGACAATGAGCTGAGAGGGAGACAAGAAAACACCGACCATCGGGTTCAATATTATGCATAATGATAACTCGAACGGGAAAATATAACGAGCATACGACTTACCAACAGTTCTTCAGAAGTAATGGTATTGTCCGTGTACAAAACCAAAAGGTCGACGGAAAGGCAGTCGGACTCCCGAAGTTTAGAACTGACCAACAAGCAAGTGGTGCCCAGAAGCTGTAGGTGATTTTTATTGATCGGATTAACCGACAGGAACCTGTCCATGTAGTTGACGGCCAATGGAAAAATGTCTTCTTGGCACTTTTGCTCTTCGCAGACCTGTACAACAAAAATAACACACAACGTTTATAACAGCACCAATTAAATATAATAGACTCATGAACATGAAATATAGTATTATAATATGTCTTACGGAATAATCAATTTAAAAATATATTTAATAACACAACGCAGTTTTTATAATTATTAGTAACTAATAACGTTTTCGATTTGAACGCCCGAGTACGAGACACATAATTATAATATTATAATCATATTATTAAGCGCATGAATTATACGCATAGGTTGGTATATAGGTTTTCGGAGAACGAGAACGCAACCGTTCAATTATAATAATAAAAAATAATTGCGACCAACTGTACTCGTGTACTCAGAATTCCAAATAAACCAACACCTATTATTTTGATTACCATTTTTATCGTCATATTATTTTCAACTAATTTGTGAGCGTTGTTTATTTACACGAGTTATTTTTCACTCGTAATCGCCGTTTATCATCTGTGCACCGGAAAAGAACATTGATAAATACAAAATGTCTGATTAACAATACTTATTATATGTTTTTTCCACAGTACAAACAACCTTTGAAGTTTGAATACTAAATGAATAAAATATCATGATACGCATGTACAATATACGGAGGTTTTTTTTACTAATTTCAGCGTGTAACTGACTAGAAATCAAAACGTCGCTCTTACGCGCAGCCGATATTGGAACAGTTATTATTAGAAGAAGTGAACACTTCAAATATGTCCATTGTGGCATTGTATCGAAAAGAAAACACAACACACGACCGTCAACGGAATAACAAAGATTGAATGAAGATAATAACACAAATCCATATGAACATTTATAAAAAAATATATTACGGCACACCGTTGCTCAGTTATTTGATATTACATCATATAAGCTGTAAAACAATATAATCATGAAATTATCTGGTTTTTTTGTCGAAAGAACCGGTGTCGTGTCGCCTGAAGTCAAATCGCCGTTGACGTTGACGAGTAGGTACCTAATTACAGGGTGCCAAAGTCGAGACACGATTACACACGAAACACACGTCGCTCCTACCCGACGTAATAAAATTCAACACGTTTTTGATGAAAAACAAAAAAATCAGGAAGAGGACCATCATCCCTTGTTTTGATGTGTGATGGGGTCTCATTGTCTCGGACAATACCGGTGGAGGCGGTCGCCGCGATTCACACACGCCGCAAACACTATGCGAATGAACAATACGCCTTCGCGGACCATTATATAATAATATTATATGCAGGTATGCTATTGCGTTGCACGGAGGTAGGTATACATACACATTATTATTATGTATTATCGGTGAGGTACTCGACTACACAAGACGCGAAGTGGTTGCGAGCCGCAGTGTTCTCGTTCGTCGTGTAAAATCATTAATGGGGTAGATAAAATATAAATAATTTTTACGACAACCATGGGAAGAAACCGACGGCGGCGGCGGCGGCGGCGGCGGGTTTTTGTATATACAATACACAGTTTCCGGGGGAGCACCGTTTTGTTATTTGGGACTATATGTTCTCGGTATATACGCATAGGACCTGTAACATGCACACGCAGCGTAACGACGACAAGTGGCGGCGTTTTCGGACATTTCCTTTGGACCGCGCGTGATATATGCGTCCGGTCGACCCGTTCGCAGGACACGAAAAACGACTATACGAGGCACTAAATTATACAGAGCGCCGCCGCCGCACACGTGTGTCACGGGGTGACGGCGGCGTCTAAGACGGGCGATCGGACGAGGCGAGAAATTAATTTATAAATTAGGTAGAGAGAGAGAGAGAGACCTGGACCAAGACTGCGGCGATAGTAATAATAATAATAATACGTGGGAATGCTATGCCGCATATGTACGTATATATACTATGTATATGATGTGTGCGTGCAGCGATCATAACGAATATTATACACCTATACTACCACCGATGGAATGTGCCTCCGGGTGGCTGGCTGGCTGGCTGGCTGGCTGGCTGGTCGAGAGGAGTATTTATCCGAGTCCCAATCGCGAGGGATGATATATACATATTGTGGCGTTTCCTCGATCCGCCGTGGCGCGGCAGCAGTCAATTACCCAAGGGATAACGACGACGTCCATTGGCTTGGCTCGGAGGTGAGAGATTTTATTGCGAGATTGATGAGCATCTCAGAGGCTGTATATTATAATGTATAATGCGCGTTCGGAGAAGATTGTGGGTGGAGCCAGGTCGTCGTCGTCGTCGTCGTCGTCGTCGGCAGCGGCGGCGGTGGTACCACTAACCGGGTTGTTGTCAGAGAGACGAGGGGCCCGGACGCCGACAATGGACGTTGGAATGTTGTTAAACCCGAAACGCATGTACACGTAATTGAAGGATAGGGTTTTCGGGTTGTTTCTCTTCGGTTTTTTTTTTAGTGCGTGTGTCCGTTCCGTTTTACGGCGCCCGTGGTGGGGAATAATAAATTAGAAAATTAAAACCCGACGACTTTTATATAAGAAATAGAATTTTAATCACCGACGCCGATGGTCGGTCGGTCGGTGCATGCAGCAGACGAGTGGCGCGGGAGAAGGCAGGGGAGACTCGTTTGTACCGTGTGCGATGTACTTACCAGCGATCGAAATCGATCTGTGTTGGCAGTGGCTCGAACGGAAAGAAAAATCACACTCTCGTTTCCGCGGAAATTCGTCACCGTTGTCGTCGTGACTGCATGGCGATTTCGGAAATAGACAAGAATTGCCGCGGGGCGTCATTATTGATCTATCTATCAATCGCGGGTGTCAGCAATTTGAATACCACGTAGAATTACGTTTTAATTAAGTTTTAAGAAATTCGACGACACGCGGACGACAGGTAATTTACGAATAATTTGTACCAGCTTGCTGCTCGTGACGGCGACGACGACGACAACGTCGTATTATCATTATAATATAACTCGAAACTTAAAATCAAACGACTTATAGAACAACATTCGGTGTAAATTACTAGCATGCTGCAGGTTCTAGGATCACGTGTAATTGGCACGTTGCCACCGGGCGTATGGAAAATAAAAAAAACGCTTAATCAAAATTTATCACTCCCGTACAATTGATACCTATAGGTATCATAATATATATATATATATATATATATATATAAATATATGCAGTATGCATATTATACGAATATCCTACTGGAAACACACACGTGCTAATAAAAAATTTAAAAAAATAGGAAAATATAGCAAAACACATCTTAACGCGTTAATATATTATTATTACGATTTTATTATAATATAATATACCTGATAGGACTTATTGGGGAATGAACTCGCGTCGACTGGTTATATGTATAATATGAAAAGAGAACAGGAAAGTATCAAAAAAAAAAAACATTAAATGCGCGTATACACGACGATACGACATTGTCTTTGTGCCGAAAATTGTGTGTGTGGCAAAAAAATTTCGTTGTTTCGACCTTGTCTATTCGCGTATAGATATTTTTGCGCGTCTACCCAAGGTCCGTACGTGCCAATTGAAATATTTATCCCACGTGGGAAGGGATATAGTATTATATACTTCCGCGGCTGGAGGGGAGGTATATGCGTTTATACAGCCTGTCAACGAATTAAAAAACGCCGCACGACATAATAATAAGGTTGTGCGCAATTACCTAGTTCGCGTTTACTTTATTTACCAAACTCGAGTTTGGTCTAAGTGTCCGCGTAATACATTTACTGTTTTTCATCTATTATAATATTTTATTCGATATGTGAATTATTGTTTCGTTCTTGGATCGATACGACCAAACGCGCCGCGAGCTTATCAATAGACGCAAAAAAAACGCATTCTTAATAATAAAAAATTAAGTTCGCCGCCGTCTCGACCAGAGTAGAAAATCGTCGCCATCAGTGTACGAACACGCGCGTAACGTATACCACCATGCGCATAAACGGTCGTTAATAATAAATAATAATAAAACATATCGAGTGACCGTATCCCCCCCCCCATGTCCCACACACCACACATCCTGTCCACTGATCTTCGTCGTTCAACGACGATGACCACGAAATAAATTATATTAATATATTATATAAAAATATTACCCATGTTTAGTCGATACACACACACACATCGACGTATACCGATTTTATCCAAGGATAATAATACATAATATTATGTGGCATATAATATTATTATCCGTCGTAACCTCTCAACTGCATTGCGGCGGCGGTTAATACACGCCGTCCCCAGAGGCGTTCCGAATAAAAAGAAGGAAAAAAATTCCAAAAAATAAAAATTCCAAATGGTTAAAAACAATAAACAAACGCGTTCTGTCGAAAACTCGAGCAGTCCCACCGACGGCCGCCAGACGACGTATTTGAATTTTAAATAATATGCGCGTCGTTTTAATATTATAATACTAGGTTCAGAAGATTCGGAAAGAGCTATTAATTTTGTTTTTCGTATCGTTTTTTTTTTCCTGATAATACATAACCTCGATCCCCGAGCCCGTTATTAGCCGTGTGTTGCGTGCAAATAATAACAGGTGTCAATAACTCGTTGCCCGTCGGTCTAATCGTCGATCGTCGTCGGCGGCGGTGGCGTGGCGACGATGACGACGACACGACTAAGCTTTTCGCGAATCGCAGCCGGCAGTCTTTTTATTTTTACGAATGACATTTAGCACCGTTTTCGGCACACGTTTCACGAAAGCGGTTAGCGATAATACTCTACAGTAATCAAATCGAGATCTCGTACGCGCGCGTCATTGTCAATAGAGTCGAACGCCAAAAATATAAAACTAATATTATGACACGATTTCCGAACAATAACGCGTGGCCCGTCGTCAAGCGAGAAGCGATAAGATAGTCTCTCTCCGCGGCTCTGTTTCTATCGTCGCACACCGAAAACCCATTGACGAAAAGAACACAAACCGAAAGCGTCTATAGCAGTGACAGTGCCGTGTGGACTCTAAAAATATACGCGATTTATAATATTTTAAATTTTTATCTGCGGCAGTCGCACAAAACCGACGAAAAAGTCTAAATTATGA